GTACCAATCTCGGTGTGGTTTCCGAAATCAAAATTTCCCTTGCAATGCAATCTCCCATGTCAAATGGCTTTTCCATAACTCTTCCTTGTCTTTGGCCATTAACATATGCTGCACATAAAAACATTATGTTTATACATCCATGAGTTTTCTATGTACTGGTTTTGGTTACTTGCCAGTTGAAACTTGCAAAAAGAGTTTAAGTTTCCTGCACTTCTTGGCAAAACCAATGAGATGGCATGCTCCGCTTGTATTTACATCCATGGCAACATCATATCTGCAATTCAACAACTGCTATTTTCAATTAAAATTTTTCAATGATCTTGATCTCAACAGTTCCACAATCTTAAAGAGCGGATAAAAATAAAAGATCAAAACCTTTCATCAAAAGTTGTATTAGCTGCAGAAATCAGCAACGTCATCATCCAGTACAAGAACAGATTCACAAACATTTCCTGCCACAGGGACAAGTTTGCTCAACATGAAACTTTGGTAACTATTCCCATATGTTTGTTGTAGACACTTGAAAAGCTCAGCAATTATGATCTAAAACACAATAAGAAGAAGAAGAAGCAAAAAGAAACTAAAATTTTATTCAATAGCTGGAAAAATCTTTTAAACATGCGATAATCAAGCAAGAAAAAAAAGGCAACAATATACATAACATACTTCAGTTTTCAATCTGTCAATTGCCGCTTCTTTGCTTTATGCCTTCACCAACACAAATATCTTCCCAACATCAGGCACAGTTCGTAAAATCTTCTCAATAAGAACTGCATATAATCAATATAAGAAAAATATCGAAAATATTATATATCATATACTTTCTTGGTGAGTCGAAAAACCTATAGGATATATATAAACTTAGAAATTCTTTTAACATATTTGTATTGGACATAGACATGTCTATTTTAGGCCTGAACCAATAGAAATAATAATTTGGGTACGTAGTTCGAATCTTGAACAAGTCTAAGACACATACTTGTATCCAACACTGAGCTCGATCGAGTCCGACGAAAAGAAACATACCTTTGGCAAGAAATCCAGTTGTGCCAGTAATGAAAAAAATCCTTCCCTCTAAGGAACTTAACAATGCCAATGCCATCTTGCAACTCCCCAAAGCTAGTTGATCCTCCGTAAGGCACCAAGTTTTTAACTGCAATATCTGCCTGAGTATTCCCATTCGGATTAGTCAACACGATTAAGATCCCGGCATCCATAACCGCCGCACCGCGATCAGCACCTTTAACAATTCTCGTCCTTTGTCTCACAGCTGAAGAAGCCCCTTGGCAATGCGCGAGATTACAGTAGTTAGTGGTGGTGGTGTGGTTCAAGGAGTGACGTTTATTGAAAAGTTTGCTCGGAGAAACAATTGAGGAACAAGGCCCCCATCAAGCTCCAAGAAAAAGGAGAAGTTGAGAAGAAAGAGAAGTATGAACCAACAAATTAAATCATTTTGTTTAGTTTCAAAATAAAAATGGTTGGCTAAACAACTTAACACTAGTAAGCTAACCCTGCCCTATAATATAAGAAACAACAACAACAAATATTTTAAAAATAGTGGGGTCTGGGATCATGAAATTGAGAGATGTCATAAAAGAGAAAGCAGAATGAGGTGAGTTTAAGGGAAGCATGATATGAGAAATAGGTATAGTTTAATGTAAAATTTTCATGCAAAGGCTCTCTTTAAGCCATTTCTTTCAAATAAATTCATGCTTCCCGACATGGTGGCACTTCTTTATTTATTTATTTTTTTCATCTTCTTTTGATTATATATGTCGTTGCCTGAATTATTGGTTTACTTTGGCTTTTTAAATGTTTGCTTAGAAAGGGTGTGGGGAGATAAGCCGATTACTGAGTAGCCATCCATAGTTTGGGGTTTAAGCTTCCACACTCGTACATACGTGGTGAAATACCCATTTAAAGATTTTTTTATTTCTTTTAACTAGTTTAGTATTTTTTTTTTTTAAGCACTTATCAAGTTACCCAAATGGTCAAAGAATTGTTATTATTTTTTTGAAGTCTCAGGTTCGAGCATCATGGATGTTATGAATGTGAGTATTCAATATAAAAATATTCAAGCACCATGAATAAAATTATGTTTCAATTTTATCCTAATTCTAATAATAATAATAAACTAAAAATGTTTTAACTAATTTCTGCATGCGCTGCCTTCATTAAAATGAACGTATATTGAGTTTCCGATATCGGTTTGATGCGATTTAAAAATCGTTGGAAAGCTAAGAGACATCCGGTCATATCTATAGAAGAAATATTGACCGAATAAGATCATGACCTCATTCGAAACGCAGTCGCAAGTCTATTGTTCTGATATTCTTCTTTTCCAAGGCTTGTTTGTGTGGATCAATTGGAAATGCTAGTCTATCTTCCTTTTATGTGAGCCTTGTTATGCATGTATTAACCATGAACTTTACTATTTAATACTTTTAAATTATTCATATTTTATATAATTTAAATTAAATGACAGAGGAATACGGAAGAAAAACAATAATGGAAAAAGAAACAGTAATATTATTTTAAAAAATATAATTTAATTTGAATTTATATAACTATAAAAATGAGTTTTAATGATTTGTTAACAGAGTAGGTTTGGGAAAAATTAAAGCGTCAAGTATTTGCTATAACTATTTTAATTTCTTATTCTTCTATTTAACATTTAATAAAAAGTTAATTAAAAAATTATTAAGTAGTCACTTCTATTTTGTATTAAATTCTACCTGTTGTATTTAAAATTGAGATCTTTAATTAGTGGAATCGGACTGCATATTAACAATTTCTTTTATTTTTAATAATATAGATGACACGGTAATATTTGTTTAGATTTTTTTAATATTAACAGTATATATATACCTTACAAACATAGTTGCTCAAATTTAAAACTTTTAAAAATAACAACACTCTTTTTTAATTACTGAAACCATTTGATGGATTCACGTATTAACAATTTCTTACACATTATCAAATTGGATTTGGCAATATAATAATTTAAGGATATCAAACTAATCCTATAGTTTTAAAATAATTATTTTGGATGTCAAATTTCAATGGATCTTAATTCACATTAAAATTATGTTTTAATCTTAGTTAATTTTAAATTTTGATTCGATCTTAAAAATTAATCTCATATATATATATATTATATATTATATATATATATATATACATATATATATATATATATTATATATATATAAAGCTTAACTGTTATTTTACTCATGTAATGAACTTATATTGATAAATTTGTTCATATTTATCCGTAACTAATAATAATCGTGACAAGAATTTTTTGAATGGTTTCAGTGATAAAAGAAAATGTTGATATCCTTAAATGACTCAAATTCGAATAATTGTGTCGCAGACAATGAAAAATGTATGATTTTAAGTTAGGGGCGAATTTTAAAATTTTTAGAATGAACGAACTTATAAAATTTTAAGAATATGAAATTAAATTACCAATAAAAATTTGAAAAATCTAAAATATATATAATAATTTAAAAATCTATTTGATCGTTTGGTAGTCTATGGGAGATTTCGGACTACAAGTCAAATATCAACCTAACATGCCCAAGGCTTCATATGTGATCTTAATACTAACTCATTTAATTTAATCATAAACTCTCATTTGTACGAGCTTTACTATTTTTGGACCTTAGACTTGATTAAACGATGGGTCATAGTCCATAAATCTAGGCTGGTCCAATTTTAATAAATAATAACTTGTTCGTGGGTATGTGTATTATCCAATCATAACTTTTCCATACTATAAATTGTTGATGAGATTAAATGGATTGTGGTGATTATTAATGATTTTTTTTTATAATTTGGAAGGATTATAGTTTAATGCTCAAGTTAGTAGAAAAACTTAAAGGGTAAGTGAGCAACATCTATAGGAGATGAGATGAGATATTGTGACTCAAGAACTCATTTAGCTATCTCAGTGGTTAAATGAAGTGTTGTTCTTAGAGATTTGTTCAAATAATTATAAAATTAATAGTTAAGAAAGAATATGAACATATATTACTTTATAATCACCTCCAGATTATTCAAAAAAAATATTGTGACTTAAGGGAAGAAAATGATACTTTCTATAACTTTTTATAGTAGCATGTGGTGTGGGTTTTCGGACTACAAGTCAAATATCAACCTAACGTGCTCAAGGCTTCACTATGATCCTACTTTAAGTTCATTTAATCCTAAACTGTCATTTGTACCAGCTTTACTGTTTTTTGGGCCATAGTCCATAAATCTAGACTGGTCCAACAATTTTAATAATTTGCTATTGTACATGTGTATTATTAAGTCATAACCTTTTCATATTGTGAACAACTGTAAAGAGTATAAAACTAGTGTGCTTGTGCTATGCGGTAGCTAAAATACGGTTAAAATATTATATAGACAATTTGATCAATTATCAATCAAATTAAAAATTTACTAATATATTGATCTAAAATGTTATTCATGCCAACATAAACTATGTAAATATTTTAATAATATTTTTTGTTACAATTTAAAAATATACATAAATTTTAAAATTAATTCAAATTTAATATCAAAGGTGACATTTTAAATTATAATAAAAAATATTATCCATTATACATATTTATTATTTTATTATGATTTCAATAACGTTTTAGGTTATAACAAAAAAAAATATTACTCTTTCCACATATACGAGAACACTACATTGATCAAAGGATGGATATATTAAGTTAGCACACGTCATCACCTAAGTGATTATAAAAAAATATTTACTTGTTGAAGTCTAAATTTTAAAAAATATTTACAAAATGTAACAATATACCATGCCAATATAGTTGTTAACGGCAGATAACCTTAAACTAAACATTAGTTGTGATTTTAAAAAAATATTCGAGTGACTAAAACAAAGCAAAAATAATAGTTGAAATACTAAACATATAATCACCCTAAAATTAATTCATTCAAGAAGGTTCAAACATTATTACTAGCCACAACCAGCGAAGGAACTCAACAATCAACTTTGTTCTCATTATACAATCCTCAAGACAGGCTAAATTTATCATCCGACACATGTACATACTAATACTCACGCCATCAACTCAGTCACCTAGAATAGTCCACACTTGGACTCCTGCTCCTACTATAGGGTGACCTTGAGTATGATCGTCCTCTATACCTCCTATCTCTGGGTGAAATTGACCTACACCAAATCGAAAGGTAACATTAATACAAACCCTTCATAACCATAAATGATTAAACTAAAATAATGATCAGCTTGCCTCGAGTAACGCCTTTTCCTAGGAGGAGAGTGATAGTCTGGACTGCGGGAGTAACTTCGACTGTATCGCGGTGATCGAGAATAACAAAGTGGGGAACGCCTATATGACCGGCTCCTGTCATTAACATCATGCACAAGCATAACAATTACGATCAACATTAACATTGTCCAATTAAAACTTTATAACCAGAAATCCTTGGAAAATAAAAGTCTTTTGTCTTCCTAAATTTTTTTTGATAAGAATTGCAGGGCTAGTTAAAAACCCCTTCATTGATTAATGGAGCTCGTAAGGGAACTCCTTAATCAGCGGAAGGAGGAAAAGAATGCTTTAAGATTTTATTCATCACAAGAAGTTGCAAGAAATACAACAACGAAAAACACCCCTTACAGAAACGGAAAACCATAAAACAACAACACTGAACTCAACCTATTCCTGCCTTAGCTAAGACGTCAGACTCTAAGTTAGCCGTCCTAACAACCCATCTAACAATTCCTTAAAAAACCTTAAGCCTATCAACTATGTCTTTAACAATAAAAGCATACACTTCTGGACTTAATTCAACGTTCTTAATCCAGTCCATGCCACTCTGCTATCACTCTCTATTATCAATCGTTCCTTAACAATTCCTTGAAAAGAGACAAAGAAAGAATCCCTTTTGAATAGTTTTAAGCTCCATCAAGGTTGGAGGACCCGGACCTGAAGACTCCTTGAAAGAACCTACAATCAAACCAGTATAATCTCTTAAACTCCACCTAATCCACTTCTCTTCCAGTCAGAACTAGAAGCAGCATCAACATTCAATTTAATGAAGCCCTTAGGAGGAGGAGACCAAAGGATTTTAGTTACGACCGCCTTATTGGAGGAGGAACAAGAATCCCCTAGAATGAACAGAGATAAGAGAATCTTTAAGGATAGGGATCTCTTGATACTTGGCTAAAAACTAGGAAGCAAGCCTAAGCCTTGCTAAGAAAAATAATTCAGCAAACACAATCGAATTCCTGACTTTCCAAATGGTCCATAGAACAACCCCGGGAACAAATGACCATATCGTAGAATTGTTCTTCAAATCTTCCCAAGATTGGAGAAAAATCTTAGCATTATGAAAAACAGAATTGAGCCTCCACAACTTCAAGAATTTATTCCATAAAGACCACCAGCAGAACAAGAAAAAAATAAGTGTGAGGAAGACTCCTCCACCAACTTGCAAAGAGGACATAAAACATCATCAATACCTTGAACCCCTCTTTTAACCAGTTCAATCTTACATGCCAGCTTCTGAAGAACTACTTGCCACATAAAGGATTCCACTTTTGGAGGAAGCATAGCTTTCAAAATTATATTTTTCCAGAAATGGACCTCCTCCGATCCTGAAGAGCACATCTAGACACAAGAGCTAACATAATACACACCATCCCCACTGCCTTTCCATATCAAACCATCATTGGAATCTTTGGAAAGTGAGAAATTGGAAATGATAACCATCAAATTTGACCATTGTTCAAATTCCCAATCATTTAAATTTCTTCTGAATTGACCATTGTCTTCCTAAATCCTTCTATTCATTACAGAATAAGAACATCAACTGAACAGTAGCTATTTTCGAATATAAACAATTATGGCATGCATTACAAAAGAACCCATTCTTACCTTCTGCGGTATCTTTCCCTCATTTCTGAAGGTTTCTTCCTGTTTTCCTCAGCAAATACAACAGTAAGTTCTCGTCCAAGAAGAACATAACCATCCATACGATATTTTGCATCAGCAGGATCAAGATACTGAACAAATCCGTAACCACGTGGTTCTCTGCACCACAAATAAGGTATCTCCCATAAAATAGCATCAATGTACAAAAAGTAGACATCAGAGTTCTCAAGCCAAGCCACACATGCTCGATGACTTTAAAAATCACAAACATGAACCTGACTCCAGAAACATGGAAGATCATGATAGCAAGCCAATGTTTCATACAGTTCAAGTATGAGACTACTAACCTTGTGGAGACAAATTTTAATTGAATTGGTTTTCTTCAAGACTTGCAATTCTTCATATAGAGTTCAAAACCAAGTTCCTTCCAATTTGATGTAAAATTAAAGGTCATCTTGGAAAGCACTCATACCTTGAAAGCATCTTCAACATAGTACTCTTAAGTTCAAAGGTGTCTTCAACAAAGTACTCTTATTACTTCATTGTTGTCTTCAAAACTTTCAATAAAAACAACCAAATTCCCATAAACCGATGTAACTGACACAAAAATAAAAAAATCCCAAAATCCAAACCCTTATGTGGGACAGGATGAAGACGTGATATTACCAGACAACAACGCATGAACACACTGAATTACCATTTTCAGGAGTAAAATATTATACTTACCCAGTATAATAATCTCGAGGCAGGTAGATGTCCTTAAGGCAACCAAATCGCCCGAAAGGTCCACGGAGATCTTCTACGCTGCACGTGAAGCTCAATAAGAAATTTATCAGCCCCAAGAAAATCACTTTGACAAGACTAAAATTTAACTTGTATTTAGAACAAACTTTTTTGTTCTCACAAAAGTAAAACACACAAAAGCTCCTTTGTTATGTCTGGGTATGAAACAAAAATGACTGATAACATAAATGCAAAATGTTGAGGCGTCTCCCAAAACGGCTTTGCTTATAATCACTAGCATGGAAACTAAAACCAAATAAGGCTACCAAAGAACCAGCTCCAATCAAGATGGAGACAAATCAAACCTGCAGTCGTGGCGAAGGTTTCGAACAAGAAGACTTGTGGGAAGATCTCTACCACGACCACCGCACCGACCCCTAGGGCTAGGGCTGTGATAGCTCCTACCATAATCCCTTGGTGGTGAGGGACTGTAACTGTAACTTCTACCCCTCGTTTGCAACAAAACTGAAACATTCAATAATCATGAGATTGCATTTAGCATTGACCAAAATTGAGAAAATGTGTGCATGTATTGCAAACTGAAAAGAAAAAAAAAAACTTGACAATCCTACGTCTCCAATGCAATGAAGAACTAAGACATGTATAATTTTCAGCAAAATGCATAATTTTAATTGCATTTAAAGAATTTCATCGAATGAAGGCTTGATTTTGAATTATTAGTTTTTTCTTTAAAGACAATTCATAAAAAAAATAAAGGAGGTAACAATTAAACGGAGCCTTAATATTACCAAATATATCAACATTCCTATTACTTTTCCCCCATATTTGGAAGCTAAGTCAAATTCTGTTTCTAAATCCCAATTCATTTTTCCGCCACGAAAGTATTTCTCTAAAATAAAGATACAAACTCATGCGTAAAAATTACAAAGAAGAAGGAACAAAAGTACTGAACATGTACCAATAAAATTACTCCATAAAAGAAAACAATACAATTACATAATTCCGAAGAAAACAAACTCTAATTACGACATTATAAAATCTTAATGAAAGAATAAAAGAGATTTACTAATCAGAAATTTAAAAGAAGGAAGAGATAAGAAACTTAATTGTTTCGCGAAAAAGACAGAAAATCCTAAGCTTTCAATTGTTCAATCTTCAGAGTAATTTTGGCGTTTAGATGGAATTGATCATCACCTACCTTCAGATTTTAACTCAAAGATATTCTAAATAAAAAATAACTCCAGAAGCTTCCTGCTCTACGCATCCTAACCGTCCAAGTGTTTTCCATCGAGAGTATCAACGGTGGAATGCCTCTAAGTTGGTTCGGCTGGATCCGCAAATGGGCCTTGATCCAATTAAAACACAGCTGAAACGCCTGCTGCTTAAAATGGTACACAAAATTAAAAGGCTTAATAAAATTAAAATCCAAACTATATATTTTTTTATTTAGGTGTATAATTTTTTTCCAATTAATTTAGTTATCTAACATTATAAATATTATTTTATTCCGATCATAATAACTGTTAAAAATTTTATTTAACACGTATTACATTTAAAAAATTTAAAATTTTTATTTAAAATAAAATTAACTTAAAAATATACTTTATTTAAAAAAACCTTCAAAGTTTTTAAAAATCTTAAAAAATTTCAAAATTTCGAAAACTCTAATTTCAATCTCTATACCTACACAGATCACCATCATTTGCCTCCGTTTTCATCGAACCTCCACCGTCAAGGATGATGCCAAAACTCCAACGGCTGAAACCCCTTATTACCGTTCCCAACGTTACTGCTAAAATCCTTAAATCTTAATACTCAAATCCCTAAATAAAAATCCTACATCCCTAAATACTAAAATTCAAATTTCGAGATCCAACCGAATTGAAAAATCTCCTCATTAATGTCTATATGCAGGGTCTAGGGGTTAGATTGCGCAACCTCTGCGTAAACAAGGACTTCAACAAACTGCGGGTTGGTGTTGGGGGAAGCACGAAGAGAGGTTGAGTTTATTTGTTTGTTTGGTTTTTTTAAAATATTTTTTAAAAGAATAAATTTTTTCAAAAAAATATAAGTGCAACACATGCCACTTATTGACAGAGAAACATAAAATAATAATGCTTATAATATTAGATACCTAGATTGACCGAAAATAATATAAATACCTAAATAAATAAAAAGATATAATTTGAGATTTTTTTTATTAAACCAAATTAAAATGTTGATCCAAATAAATCCATACTCGAAATCTGACCTGAAATTGAGAGCCCTAATAACGAAGACTGTAACCATCTCTTACTCATCTCGAAAACGTACCGAGTACTTGGTACGACATACTACATAGGGTTTTATTACGTCTGGTTGAAGTACTTAAGAGTATTAATGTTTTCTTAAAATAAAAATGCAAGAATAAGTTAATAACCAAATAATAATTTACGCTAAATTTATTTAAAATTTTAGTTACTAATAATTAATATACATTCATAATAAATTTATGAAATAACCATCCAGCTCAGTTGGTAGAGCACAAAATTTTTAACCTTAAGATCGTGTGATCGAGTCCCATGGAGGACATTTCATAATTCGAAGGTCTCCTACGGAAGTTACTCTTAATCTGGTGTTGGGGACAACCTACTATCTTACCTTCCCTTACCCCATTACATATAGGACAACCATCTAATAAATTTATAGAATAGGGAAGATTTCTTTCGATATTGGTTGTTTCATCCTCGCAGTTTGATAGGAAAAAAAATGGAGAACCATAAAATATCTTTCTGTTTGATACACAAGAATGACCTAAGGTGTTGCAGAAGAAAAACACCCAATTCAATTGCCTGCTTCTCAGTCTTACATTTCCCATTTGAAACACCTATACAATGTTATTACTTCCACTTGCAATGGACAGAAAAGGTAACACCAACTTTACCCATTAACTCCCGTCCCAATCTTTATTCCCTGTGCATGCACCTGTGTTGCCAAACCTGCAAACTATTGAATTATATAACCAACATGTTCATGATTGCATTCCACAGTAATCATCTTGTATCCAGCCCTTGTATTAGCACTTCTGACGGCCCTTCGAGATCATGTGAGGATTACAATCACATGCCATTTGTCTGTTGATCTCGAGGTCGTCTTCTTGCAATAAAATATCAGACTAGAAATAGGAAGCTGTTATTAATTCAAGGCATAATGGACTTGTTCGAGGAGTTGTACGACCTTGTTTACTGGGATAGGTGAAGGTGTTAGTTTCGAACTCAACTTTTGAGTATCTGGAGAAACAATGGGAAATGATAATACAGCCTCTTGTTGAATGCTAGTAAGCTCCAAGAATTGAGCTAACATATCACCGTCAAGTATCTTCGGGACACCAACCTTTTATCCCAACACAAACACAAAAGAACAGTTAGAAAAAAAAGTATGATTTGTTTAACACCTGAATTAACATGCAATAGCAGACAAAAGCAGCCTAGAAAGACTATTATAAAACTCCCATCCCTACAAAGTAACCACTCCATCCTACAAACAACCACCAAACGATCAAATTAAGAAGCGTAACATCTGAAAAGAAAGAGGATGACTGGCAAAATTAATGAATGAATGAAGAAACAGAGCACGGCAAATGGCTAGCATAAAGACTCAATAGCTCCCAGGTTTGAATATTCTTTTGATGAATAAACCAAGAAGCATTAGACTTTCATCACCATCAACGATTTTAGTAGTTAAAACTCTTACCGGGTTTTCACGGCTACGGTACTCATTATGATCATTGCCTAGTACAGGAGCAGTTAATGGATGAACGATGAGTCTAGCTTGGACAGCTTCCAACAGTTCATATTCCTCCTACAAAAAAAAGTCAATTTATCAACCACAAACCCAAAATCTACACACTAATTAACTTACCAGAATATGGGAGCCTAAGTAGCAGTAAAGACCAACCACATTGATTGGCATTAACCATGGCTCATAATTGAAATAGGTAGACCCAGTTAGACCTACTTATCCAGTTTTATGCACAATTAAATGATCCAACACATACACAGTACAGATTACTTTCCAGATACTGTAAAATCAATGGGTAAAGTACACAAATGGTCACTAAACTATGATGAAATGATCTTTGTGGTAACTGAAGTTTAAGAAGTTGAAAAATGATCATTAAACTTATCTAACTGTTACAAAATGATCACTATGCATTATAAAATAGTGACAAATTTGATAAGTTTAAGGACCATCTAATAACAGTTTGATAAGTTTAATGACCATTTTATAATAGTTTGATAAAGTTTAATGACCATTTTGTAACTTCTAAAACTTCAGTGACGAAAAATGGCTATTTCAGCATAGTTAGTGACCATTTCTGTACTTTATCCAAAAATCGATTCAATTCTCTCCTATCACAAGAGAGAGAAAAATGACTTGAAATCATCTCCCGTTTTGTCAGCAGTCAATAAAGTGCCCTTCAAACAAATTTATATATATAGATCAAATCCACGAGTGTTTTAACATAACAGTCATAAAAAATAATTCTACCAATAACAATTGCAGCAGCCATCATTTTATATGGAACAGTTTGGCTAAACAGATGAGATCTGTGAACAACTGCCCAAAGAAAGGCCATAACAAGTAACAACTGAAATAAACAATTCTAACTGCAATCTTTCATCTTTTAATTTTGAATTTTAACCAAAAGGTTTTCAATTTTTTTTATATAATGTTAACCAATAAGAAATCAAAAATAGCGAGAGCCAAAAATGAAAATGTTAAACTGCAAAAGTTCAACATTAAAAAAAAAGCAGTAAGTGTATAATTAAATGCCAAGATGAAATTTGTCAAAACACAGATCTATATCTTTCATCCTTGTCATGAATTCCAAAGACTCTTCATAAGGAATGATAAATAAACTTACCCCCGTCATTTACAACTACAGGAATGTTGACTGTTGACAGCTAATCAATCTTGTTGACAGCTAATCAATCTTACGGTTTTACCAAGATAATCAATGGGACTCAGAAAATAACCTTGAGATATCATGGTTCATCAATTCTATGGGATCACATTTCCAGGACATTTGCTGCTTGATACAACAGCAAAAATGTAACGACCCGAATTTTTGAGTCAACATTTGAACGTTTACCTGAGTCATAGATGGATCAATTTATAACTTGAAAACGCTTATTAATCAAAGTTTGGACTTAATCGAGTGAGGATTAAACCCGATTGGTCATAAAAAGGAAACCTTTGATATGGAGATGAAATAGGACGACTAAAAATGTAATTAACCAATTAAAAGAGATCAAAGCTAGAATTCACCCAAATTGTTGCTTGTTAGACATGGGATATAGGGACATAGAGGTATGGAAGTGAGCTCATCTTTTCTCATCTATCTCCACCTTCTCATCTTTTTCTACTTTTCTCTCTCCATCAAAAATAAAGAACCTTGGTATCAAAAGAGGGATCTCTGACATTCAAATCAATCAACTAAGATTTATAGGGATCTTTGGCATTCGAATCAATCAACTA